TGCACCTATACTATCATTTTTAAATTCAACATGTATGTGTGTTTACCTGCTGGTTGGTTGGCATACTCGGTGGAGCCAGTTCCATCACCATTTGTGAGAGTTCTGACTGGACAGCCTGCATGTCTGTGTACTCCTGATTCCTGTGCATTGCCACAATAACCAGGCGCCGAAAGTTAGCACTGGCAGCCAGCTGCCTTCGCCCCTCACTGGAGCTGTAGAGCCAAGCTGTCTCACTGCCTTGAGGCACTGACAGGATAATCAAGGGGCAAAGGGAATCAGACAAAAAAAACATTTAAAAAAAAAAACAGAATACAAACAGTGTGACTTACATAGGAAGACAGACACAGGATGAAGTATCAGGAGAGCTCACCAATAAATATAGCAAATTGGTTTGACCTTGGCACCTTGGCACCTGGAGGACAATCTTGCACTGTGAGAGTATATCTGGGAAGGCCAGTCTTTACATGGCAGAGATGCAGTGACAGGTTTGACCTGGCATCTATGCCTGTGCGGAGTTTCTTTCTCAAGACAGAGTAGGCCTGGTGCTCCCTCACAACGGACAACAACTCTGAAACCTGTGCAAGGCGCATCGGGGCTCCATCCTCTCCTAGACACATCTCTAGAATAGGCATGGGCATAGGTTGACGAAACTTGGTGCAGATGAGAACAAAGACAGGCAGAGCAAAGGAGTCCTCCTCATTCCCATTTTCCTGCTGCAAGCAGTGCAGCCTCACTGCCCACCCCAGCTGTACAAAGTGCTCCACAGCCAATCTGATCACATTCTCCTGAGCCAATGTCACACAAACATACCTGCCCCCAACATTTAACACCCGACCCACCTGCAGACACAAGTAAACTGCTGTGAGGGGAATGCAAAATTGTATAGAGATGACAGATTGTCTACACAAACCCTGGCTAATTGGTTTATTACCTCAGTGAGCATTTTCCTGGCCAAAGCTCCTTCCTCTTCAGATGCCATGGCATCCAGTGTGCCTTTGTCCAGAGCAGCCTGGTAGCTACCATCCTCATATGGAGTTTGTGTAGCATCCATCTGCTGAAAGGACAGGCCTGGCCGGCGCTCAGCATTTTGCTGGTTCATATGGTTCACTACAGTCTCACTGATGTCAATGTTAGTCAGATGTTTGTAACCAACATCGTACAGTTGTTCACTCAGCTCAGAGTTACCACAACCGACCACCAATACCTGATGGACAGAAATATTCAGTTGCTGTCACTGATAGTGGTGGAAAGTAGGTGAACAAATTTACTTAAGTACTGTAATCAAGTACATAATTAAATCTGTAATTTAGTTATTCTGTAAATCTACTATGTATCCTGTACACATGACATCTGTTGCATGTTCCTGGAAGAGGGATCCCTCCTCTGTTGCACTTCCTCCATTTTTTTAAATGAACACTTTCATAGGCTACATATTAACAGGGTGTAAATGAAAATAGTAATAGTAGGCATACTGTTAAGCATCAATACATTACTACATTATTACTTTATGCTGTATTGAAATGCATCTAGAGTGACACTTCTATATAACTATTCAACTGAATCAGTTATCCTGGGTTAGCATTAGATCTCAAGACTCGGGAGCAAATTCTGTAGATTGTGGGACTCTGGATATTTATGGCAGAATGGCCTGCCATCCCCCTCTTTGGGGCCAAATAATGGGTAAAACATCATTTAATTGGTATAATGAGCTTCCATATTAATGCTCTCCCATTCATTGGCACATTTAATTGTGTATTATTCACTGGGGCGGCTGTTTCCCCACAGATATTTATTTGTCCTGACCTTAATGTGAACCTGACCTCCAACACTAACCAGTCGTGTTTGATGGTGCTCAATTCCTGAGTGTCCCCAACCTTATCCTAACCATAATCTGTCACCTCTGCCTGCTCCTAAGTCTTTGGATCTAACGTTCACCAGGTATTTTGTGCATCGCTGTAACCTTACATATCCTGATCAACATCTTTACCTTATCTTGCACTTTGATATATTTATGTAGCACGCCGCAGAGTTTGTTGTAGTCGCCATACCACTCGAAAGCTTTCTCTCCGCGGTTCTTAAAAAATCTCTCCCAGTACTCCGCAGAGCTGAACTCCTCAGCAGTGCGAGGTAAAAGACTCATTGTCACCTGCAATCAGCACGTTTCACTGCTCTGTACAAAGTCTGCTTACAGACGCTTCTCCACAAGTCATTTGGCACTTCTTAACCCGGAAGCCATTTCTCGCAATACAACTTGCTGATTGGTAGATTTTCTGTACGTGGAGCTAGATACCGCTCTGTGATTTGCTTAGATGCTCAGAGCTGATTTTATTGGCCGCAGCTGAGCCGATTCTGCCGGAAGTAGTTAGTCCGGTATTATTAGTCGTCCGGTTTTGTTAGTCGTCCGGTTTTGTTGGTTTGGTTCATCATGGCTGTTTTTGCGGGAAGGTCTGTGGCCTTCGTGACTGGAAACGCAAAAAAACTCGAAGAGGTAAGAGGTGAACAATTGCTCTGTGACAGACTGTGTGCTGTTTTGTCTAAACACTTGCAGGCAGAATACTTGTACATTTAATGTCTTTATGCTTTCCCAGACGATGCTTGCTAAATATAGAACGTGAAAGTCAGCTGTAATCTGAATTAACTCAGAATTCAGTGTCATTCACAAAAATCAGTCCTGCTAGGTTCATTGTTTTCTCTGCCTTTTTCGCATTCCATCAGGTGATTCAGATCCTGGGAGACACGTTTCGCTACAAACTAGTGTCAAAAAAGATCGACTGTAAGTGTCAAATGAGAGATCACCAGTACAGTATATATTTTCATGTAATAACTGGTCATGTAATGATTTCTTCTTCCAGTACCCGAGTACCAGGGAGAGCCAGATGACATATCCATACAAAAGTGTAAGGAGGCTGCAAAGCAGGTACATTAACTGTGCTGTAACTAAGTTCTGTATATATGTATCTGCTAAACAACTGAAACTGATGTGTTTGATGTTGTTTGTTTGTCACCTTCAGATTGATGGGCCAGTCATAGTGGAGGACACCTGCCTATGTTTCAATGCTTTAGGAGGCTTGCCGGGTCCTTACATGTTAGTATAATAACCTTTTTTAGGAATTTTATCTTTAATAGTGGTAATGAAAAGCAACAGTTGCATCTATGCTCTGTTTATGCAGAAAATGGTTTCTGGATAAACTCAAACCAGAAGGTAAGTATGGTAAAAAAAATGAAATACTGCTGAAAGCCAAGAGATCTTTAGGTTGAAAAAGTGAGGCGACCTGCCCAACATCTAATCTTGTTAAATGTGTTGTTCTAGGGTTGTATAAACTCTTAGCTGGATTCGAAGATAAGTCAGCGTGGGCTCTCTGCACTTTTGCTTTCTGTGCTGGGAAAGGTGAACCAGTGCAGCTCTTCAAAGGAAAAACAGAGGTCAGAGTTTCTCACTCACTGTGTCCATGTTTGTGTGAGTGTGTGTTCTAATTTCTCTTTATTCATTTCTCTTGGTGTTTTTAGGGGCACATTGTGGAACCCCAGGGACCTCGAGACTTTGGATGGGATCCATGTTTCCAGCCAGAAGGATATGACAAAACGTAAGCAAGGACTGTGTTTGAAGCTCCCAGTTTAGACCAGAAGGGGGAAACAGAGGTTAACATTGAACTGCAGTGCAATCATGGTCTCACCTAAATACATTATATATTCCTTTTACCATATGCAGTGTATCTGGGGGTGAATTATCACTTTTATTTCATATCTGTGCCAAGGATAAAAGCGTATTTATATTCTCGATTATTTACTCTCATCTGCAGCTATGCTGAACTGCCAAAAGAAGTAAAGAATTCAATCTCTCACCGCTACCGGGCACTGGCTGCCATGTCTGAGCACTTCTCTCAAACCAACAATACCTCACCACAGTGCAAGAAGAGTAAGCAGGAGGATTAATCCTTGATTTTAGTCCAACTTCAAGTTTTGTATCACACCTCAAATAATCAGATTTGTTAAGACAATGTCTACTGTTCAACGCTGCAGTGGGAACGCTTCTGCATAATGTTGTCCTTATTTTTATTAAACATTTTGTGAATTTGAAAGCAAATCCCTGTGTTCTCTGGAGTGCTGACTGCAAGCTGGCTCTGTTTATAGGTAGAATTTTAGGTAGAATTAACTGCAGCATGTTAAAACTATGCTGCAGTTAATGTGGACAATTTTTAAAGTTTTGTTTCTTAGTTCCATAGTGGATGCTTAAAAACAATCTTGAGTTTTTGCCTTCAAGGACTGACAAAGATAGACTTGGAAAAGAGCATTCATTATAAAAACAGGCACTCTAGGGTCCTGATGAGAGCAGCAGACCTCTCTGTGTCTGAGAATGGCTGCTGGAGGTGGCGAGGGAAGCAGAGGGTGTAGGAGGACAAGATCTCTGAAGCATGGAGGAGGTGTACAAACATGACAGTGATAGGGGAGTGTGGGTAATAAATGGGCTTGGAGCTAGATGTCTCTGAGTAAAAGCTGTGACTGATGCCTCCCAAATGTACTGAAGATGTCACCTGTACAAATACATGTCTTCTGACTATGACAGCAGAACAACAGTTCAGTGGCGTACACATTTTGTGTGTTTTACCAGATATTTTGTCTACTTTATTCTACACAGATTTAACAGAACTCTACATTCAAGTGTGTACTTTTCTTTTTTTTTATTTATATGACACTTTTCTAATCATATGCAAGAAAATGTTTGCAGCCAGTTACTGCTAATATTACTTAACCGGTAAAAGTAATACCTCTTAAGAAGGAGCTGGCTCATGAAATGATTGGACCACCAGGTATTTGTAGGTTTAAACCTCTGGCTTTGTTCAGGGACCTGCCAGATAACTACAAGTTCTGTGAGAAGGAGAGGAAAGCTGTATTTGTCTTCAATAGTGAGACATCACTTCATCTATCAGCTCGGTTTTCTAACAGAACATGGAAGAAATTTGTTAAGCTTACAAAAACAAGATACCTACCACTATTACCACACAATTACATATTTCATGTATGGAGTTTATACATTACTTAAATGGGCAATCTGAGTCTTTCATCCACCACAACGTGAAATGGTTATAATTGGCATTTCAAGTAACGCTGTATGGTATTGTGACCAGCGCTGTACTAAAAGATGAGAAGTGTTTTGTGCAAGAGCTGTGAAACAGCATGAGGAACCATGAGTAGTCTGAGTAGCCAACAATGTCTCTGGCTGCCAAAACAGCCTTTTCTACAGTAGTAATAGCACGGAGACAGAGTGGGGGAACCCTGCAGCAGCAGTATCAAGCTAGGTTAGGTGATAGGAGCAGCTTCCAGTTTCTCTGGGAAGACAGCCTCTCACCCCTTGGGAGGAATTGTTACTTTGACATCAATCTCTGTCAGTCCCTCAGAGCTGAATGGTCGCCCTATCCCACTTCTGACACCAATTTCTGTCATGGAAATCAACAAGGTTCTCAGGTAGTCTTTCTATAATTTATTAAACAAATCAGGCAATAGCATAAGACAATACCAGTATCTTGATCAAGAGATCACACACTCAGTGCATAGAGTCAGTGAGTGGCAAAGGAGAGAAGTTACAGTCAGGTTTTGTATAACATCAGTCAACTATCACCCCATTAGAAACATGTCTTGGGTATGTGGCCTTCATAGGTATCTCCTAGACAGTTGGGCTGTGTAGGTAACAGGCTATGTGTGTGTCAATAGAGACTGTGTCTGTGTGTATATGACGTGTGTATGTGTGTGTGGAGTGTCTGGGAGACAGAACTGTTTGGGAGAACTGTAAAAGAGGAAAAGAAAACAAGGTTATACAGCACAAATACATTGATAATATGAACATTGAGCATACTGAGCAGATAGCATATGTAGGAATTTCACCTTTCCACTACACCAAGACGGTTGTAAAAATGTTGGAGGGCCATATAATAATTTGTGAAAAAAAGTTTTGTAGTCTTTGTTTTGCTGTACCTATCTTGTTTGGTTTTTGTTTATTATGAAATAGTGAATAATTTGTCTTCTTTCTGATACAGATTTTTTCTCCTCCAAAAGAACCAACATAGAAAAAGACAATCATTCTTTTGTTTAACTGTTCAGCACATGTGCATATAGCAAGTACTGTGTCATGAGCCAAAAACTTTGAGAACACTGCAGTATAAGTAGCTCAGGAAACATTTTGTAATGGGCTGTTTTAGATACTTGGAAAATGTCCATAATGTTAGGAGAGCTGTCAACTGATGTGACCTGCGGGTTACATGGTTTTTCCTAACAGACAGGATGTTTTCTGGCTTAATTACAAATAGAACTAAAAACCATGTTTGCCCACGTTTATTTAGCTGTTGCGACACTGGCTGATGTGGTTTATGAAAGAATGTCCTACATTGGGATTGCTGAGAGGAAAGGATGCCTGACTTTATGAGATCTTAATCTGTCATGATTACACTGTAGTTTGATGTGGCTTTGGGGAAACAAATGTGCTTCTTCTTGTTATGCAAGACTTACCTGAATTCTGCTGCAGTGATGAGTTCTATTTAACAGCATACTCAAAATAAAACCTGTAGATATGGTCATTTCAAAAAACATGTTTAGTTTTAACTTCAAAGCAACAATTAGGGATGATTGATTTAGGTTGCATAGATTTTGTACTTCACCAAACTCACCCTTGAATAAACTTTCTCTATGTTCTTTCCAGGCTAATGATTTATTCCACCATGAGGCCATTGTAGTGAATAACACAAACAGTTCACCTAATACATGTTCTTGCCATGACTTGTCCTCTCCGTTTTCAGTCTTTATGATCAAATTCAGATCCCACAGAAGGTTCCACTGCTACCTGCATTTTAACTGTTCCAGAGGGAGGTTAAATGTCATTTCACTTTTAACATTTTGACACCTACATTAAACCTTGGCATTACATGTGTTTTCATTACCATCATATTGGGAAAAACATGGAGACTTGAGTAGCAAAAGCTGGGTGTTGGTAAATATTTAGTGGTCTGTAAAGGTAGGGTTGTGGATTACAGATAAGACAAGACCCTATACTATCTACATGTGAAAGCATAAAAACATGCACAGTGATGGGGTTAATATTTTAAATAAAGAAAGAGGCACAAGTCAGAAGGAGGAATGCTTGAGTGAGTTGGAGAATACTGTAAAAGGGAGAATGTGGTGAGATACAAAAAAGCAGAAAATCTGAATGTCTGACATTTGTTATTTGTCTCAAATTTCTCTCAGGTGCATACCTGCACACAAAACAAAAATACTTTGAAAAACAATGTTGATCTGTGAGTTACATCCTCACAGAACGTTTTAACACATTTCACCTACCAATAAATCTTAATCAGATGAGCCAACAATAAAGAAATAGTCCAAGATTTTTCTTCCAAACATTTATTATAGCAAGAGTATGCTTATGCAATATTTGGTTTTCAGTTTATTTTAAATTGCCAGAAAAAGTCAACATCAAGGTCAAAACAGAACATGTTTTGACCCCCCCCCCAAGCATGCTGCAGGCCAGATTCTTGTGGAGTACCAGCAAAATATGGTCTCACAGGCCTTAATGTGCCTGTGTCATAGAGAAGAAACAAATGCAATTAGTTACTCTAGCCAAACAGCCCAGGGTTGTGCAGAGTCAGAGTTTGCAACAAGTGCTCGAAGTCCTGCATCGTCCATGGATTTGTGTGTGCCCCCTCTGCAGCTGCACTGCTGCTGTCAGGGCTGATGCTCTGAGGGTCATTGAAGGTGATCAGGACATCTGTGGAGAACTGTGGCAGGCGGAACAAACCCAGGAGAAGGCTCACTGTATTTGTTGCCTCTTCATTGAACTTGGAAACACACTGTGTGCCAGTCAGCATCCAGGCCGAGCTACACTCTGACAGACACAGATCAAATTTTGGCAAGGCCACTACACTGGTAACATCAAAAGCACCTTGCACTAATGCTTTGTTACTACTCGCAATATCTTCAAAGTGGTATCTGGCAGCGTCCTGGTCTGCCACGTGACCCTGATACTCCACTAGCTCCACTATGAGGCTCTGGTCTGTGTGTGCATGGGCAAACACCTCCTGATTGTCTGGGATCTCCCTCAAGTCACTGATGTCTGTGGCGCTGTGTGGGACGACAGCTGACAGTGCTCCTCCAAACAGAGGACGAGCCTGATCAGCGTTGCCTCTTGTGCTCTGCATTTGTCTGTGAAGGCTATGAGCAGTTCTGGAGAAACAGCAACAAGCACAAACTATCACCTACTTACAGAAACCCCCACCTACTTAAACCGAAAACATAAATGTGCAAAACAGAGTAACAAACAAATAGCTTACCGTCCTGACACTTGGTGCATTAGCTTTACCCATAAAAGTTCCGCTTTTTCTTCTTCCCTGCCAATTTGCGCGCATCTAAACGTATGCCAGGCGCACTATCGCCACCTAGAGGCGAGGTAGACATACACCCTAAAACAAGCAGTGTTATAAGTAGTTCAAGTTCAAAGTTCAAAGTGTTTATTTTGTCATATGCACAGTTAGGAAACGTGTTTCCCTGTACAATGAAATTCTTACTTTGCTGTCCACATGAATGCCACAAAAAAACAAATGAAATATATAATATAGATAAATAAATAACAAAATCTAAGACACAAAATCTAAGGCACTTTAAGCAGCAACAAATGCAGCAATATAATAATATATATATATATA